GACCCTGAGTGTTGGTCCGGCCGGGGCTCGAACCCTCGACCTTCCGCACAACAGTCCAGCGCTCTATCCATTGAGCTAACCGGGAGGCAAGACACAGAGTTGACAACAGAGTCAAGTTATCGTGACTGCCAATAGCCGGGCACAATGGGCTATAGCAGAAGGGGCCAGGAAGAACTCAGAACAGCGGTAAATGTGCTGCAGCGCTGGAAAATGAACAGTTTCGTAATGAAGAATTTGCCGAAATTTTGGGTTACCTGGAATGCAATATTTGCTCCTTCTCTCTCTGCGTTCAATCTGTTCTGCCCCCACTGTTTTACCAAAAGGAGCCTTAAGTAAGGATGAGTAAAAAATAATGTCATTAACGTATTCTTCTGAGTGTCACTAGTATCATTATCCCGGTTTTAACTGGTCACTGGCAAGCAGCTAACACTGTCTTTCAGTCATACCAACAGACCAAAGTCTATCTACGAAGACTGACATCACACTTATAGACCATTTAACAATTATTCCATTCGCGGATTTTGGATATGAGTTGGTTATAACCATTCTGGTATCCAAAAAACACAAATGGAATAATTTTTTAGATTAAATTTCATGAAATCCTGAACGTTTGTATATTTGTAGCCTTTTTTCAGCTGTGCAACAGTTGGCGCAATGCCTTTCCATAGAAGGAAACTCAGAATATGAGCTCATCACGGGTGTTGAGTGAACCAATCACAACACTACAAATGCAATAATAACACGTACTGGACGCTAAGCTACACTCCTATCCTTCATGACGTGATGCCTACTTCCCACGCGACTTTTAATCCCGATCTTCACCCTTCTACTCCTTTTCCTATTTCTTTTCCCTTCGCCTCCATTCTTCCCATTCCCTCCCTTCTCTCGTTCACTAAACTCACGTATCCTCCTCCTGTGTCTTGATATCATCCACAATTTGTTCCAGTATGGCCAAATGGATTGCCTTGTCTGGGGCTTTACACTTCATTAAATAAATTGCAAAATGCTCCAGGCGCACATCCCCAGGGTGGTCTGGTGAGTATTCTCGCGATATCTTCTCCAGATTGGTCCTTTGTTCAATGCACCACTTTGTAAGTGCTTCCTCTACGCCCAAGCTCCTTGCAGCCTCGGCTAGTGAGTTCAGCTCGGTGTTCTCTTCATTTTCTGTGTCACGAGTCTGTGTACTGGACTCAGTTTCAATAACAACGTCTGGTCTGGGAACTATCGCTTTACATTGGTTCTCTGTGAGGGAAATAAAGTCGAAAATTAATCAATCCGTTTACTAAATGGTCAGTTGGTTGGTTAGCCAGCCAGTCAGCGAGTCATTAAGTCGGTCAATTGGTCGGCCAGTCAGTCGAACACGAAGTCTTTTGGTCAGTCAGTCAGCAAGTCTGATCATTTTATCAGACAATGAGTCACTGACTCACACCGTGTGTCTGTCAAACGACCGATCCAAAACGAAAACTGAAATGTTATCATTGATTATTAATCGTCTTAATCTGTACAGTGAAACTCAAAAGAAATATCTTGGAGGCATGGTTATTTGCCACTTGCTCCAGTACAAAATATAGTTAATATCGACAAACCACCAAATTCTCCGAGCTTCGCCATCTGCTTTCGGAGTAGTTACGTTTGATATAAAATAACTTCCAGATAGCTAAAATTTACATTGTGCGTGAGCATTTAAAGTTACAAAATCTTGATGATGTTTTAAGTCAGTAAGATGATTTGCATTTAAGATGCAGGAGTTGTTTTCGCGCATGTAATGTCCATTTACTTTTTCTTTTTCTTCTTTGCGAAACTACTATTTGGGTGGTACCTTTCGAACAGGTTCCTATTTTTTTTTTCAAATAATATTTTTTATTCAAATAATATTTTTTATTCAAATAACATTTTTTATTCAATTAATATTCTTTAACAATGCCTAAATGGCAATGTTTGTAGTCCTTTCAAAGAATAATTTAAATTGTTAACCCACGATTTTAATACGAGGAACAGAGGGACCAACGTTGCTCTGCCGAAAGTGAGACTTGACTTTGATCGGAAAAGTTTTTATTTTTTAGAAGCTTCAGCTTTTAATTTTTTACCTTTAAAAATCAAGCAAATTAGCAGTAGGGTAGCATTCAGGGAGTCTTTAGATCAATTTTTTGCATAGGGCATTTAGTTAGGTGCGTAGTCATTCTTATCTCATTCTAGTTTTTATCCTTATATCATGTTATTTAGACAGGACCCCATTGATAACAGTGCTCCTGCACTGAAGGGCTATCCTGCATAAATATTCGTTATTATTAGTATTATTAGTAGTAGTAGTAGTAGTAGAAGTAGCATTATTATTATTATTAATAGAGCAGGACAAATCGAATCCCCACTCTTACCCGTTTTAGCGAGTTGTTTCTCGTCCCAATCTCTCATCTCGTTTTCGAACTCTGCGTTATCTTTATCGACAAGCTCCTTCAAGTCCAATGGCAACTCCTGTATACTACCACCGGCGCCGATGCAACCCTCACGACGAGCGTCAATATACATGAGGCAGTACGCACTCACGTGACGATAGTTACCGAGAGACTCACGGGATACCTCTTCCCACGTGACTTCACTGACTGTAATGTCATTGAACTTACACCATCTCTGTTGACTGGGATCTTGAATGTAGGCCCAGTAATGGCCGCCTGAAGCTTGACCCTCGTGGACAAGGACTGCGTGAAGACGGTAAGGTAACTTAAAGGGGAAAAAAAAACTGTATGTAAAACTGATTTAAGGGATACGCCACTGTTTATGCACCTAGAAAATTTAGCCCAAAGTTATTTACAGAGCGCGTCCATCTTCTCCATCCTTGTTCTATCCTGCTTCATCCTTACCCCTATTGCGCATCTCTGTTATTGAACTAAACTTCTGTATTCTCTTTCAAGCCGAGGGTGGTTTTGCGCAGCTTAAAATAATAAAAGGAAAAGACTCGAGCTCATCAAGAAATTGTCATGGAGGGAACTCTTGGATGCTCTTTACCAAACTCACACCAAACCGCAACGACCACTCACACTTCTAATTTTCATTCTTTCTTGAATTCTGGATTTACATTTGAAAAACCACCGTCTTTGAGCTGAAAATGGCTAGGGAGATGATGAAGGAAACTAACTTAGCAACTGAATTGTCATACGACCCTGCACTATCTTCAACGATTTGAAGAAAACCTAAAGAGCCTTTTGAACTATTTTGCATATTTTTAAACGCTGAGTGCGGATACTATAGCTGATATCTCCACATCACAGCCTATCTTTCTGGTGTGTTCACTTAATTATTTAGAGAACAAAGTATGATTCACCTTCTTGAGACTTGCATCGTCATATATATTGGAAATGGCGTCTTCGGTTTCTCGAAGGTGGGTGTTTAGATCTTCAGAGCAAAAAAAAAAACAAAAAAAAAAATTAAAATCAAGGCTTTAGTCTATATAAATGTTATACGTAACACTCCTTCGCTTCACTACGATCTACTGTTTGAAGAAACAGTTCCTTGAAAAGTCTCTCAAAAGAAACAACCCCTTAACATTTTAGTAGAGTTCCCTAACAAGATATAGCCACCGTAAGGAAGGAGCCACTATTTTGCGCAACCCAGCCTTTTTCGTGTCTGCGTACCCACGCAAAGCATTCCTTTCTCACTGACGTGCAGCAGTAGTAAGGATTTTGACGTTCAAACTACCAGTTTGAAGAAGGCTTCGATCTCACAAGCCACGACTTCTTTCGAGACTAGTCTTCACGTAGACTTCCTTATTCAGTTAAAACAAACGTTCATCAAGCAAGCTTGCGACGATGTTCACGTTGTTAGCGCTGTGACACGAGAGTTTCTTTGACCGCGTAAGAGAGGCCTGAAGAAAAGCAAGCCTCCGAGGGTTTTTTGCACTTGTGTTTTAGCACTTGCACTTGTGCAGATTTCGCCGGCTCAAATCCAACTCTCTCACTGGTGAAGAAAGGCTCGCAGGCTGTCATTAACCTGTATACAAATGTCTTCTTACATTATTACAATGTGCACCCCTGATACCGCATCGGCACTGCGAGGAGTATAAGAATATCAATCACTTCAACATTTCACCTTTAACATCCTGTTCCATCTCTTGCTTCCACCGCCTCAAACAGCCCTCCAGCACAGCCACTTCCGTTTCTGTCACGTGACGAGGCGCAGGGGTCCACCGTACATCGGACAAAGGGCATGGAGAGGAGGTAGGTGAGTGTGCGTCTGTTACCATTCCCGTGGTGCTCATGGGTGTGGGTGAGCCAGACAGAGGAGTTTTCATATCAACATCAACATCGGAATCGAGTTCATCGCTTGATGGGGGAGTGCTTTGAACGAACGATAGAGCGCTGTCTAGAACTTCTTGGATAGCACAACGTCTAGACCCTTGACCATACTTGAGATACCTAAAAGATGGGAGGTACCGCGTGAAGAAAACTTAGTACAGTGGGGTGAACGACGTTTTTTGTAGAAGCCCTATGCTATGCTGCAGTGACAAGTCTTAGTGAGCTTGGTCGAGGTCGAGGTCGAGGTCGAGATTGTACTCGTGTCATCAAGTATTACTTTTTCCCATTTGTATCACCTTTCAGCTCGTATTGATTTTTCAATTTCAAGCAAATCCTCGTGATTTCAAGCACTGCTCGAGCTTCTCTGCCTTCATTAATAAAAAGGTAACAAATTTATCAACAGGAAATGTTCTTATCTTACGAAAAAACCCTTTTCACGGAAAAAGTGAAGCATAAATTCCCATGCAACATCTAACGGTTTTTATGAACGAAAGGCGAAGGGCTAACGCTCGAAACGCCAGCTTGGCAACTCTTTACGGAGCCCAATTTACGTTATCGACTCAGTTTAAAAACCCAAAATACATGGTTCGTACAACTTCAGACAAACAAAATTCAAGGACTTTTCAAGGACTTTTCCAGGACAAAAAATGGTTTTCAAGGACTAAGTTTTATTCATACATCTAAACCATTTACGATTGAATACACATTTGCCCATCGCTCAATTAAACTGAAAACAAAGGGAAATGAAAAATTCATACCAAAACATAGCCAAACCTCTACATGTTTACGTTACCCCTTAAAACAAAAGCACATGGCGGACTACCCCACATTGGAGGCCTTGCGCATGAAATTGAGGCACAGATACAACTTTGCTTCATATACAAAGTCAAAGCCAAAGACACAAAGCCAAAGTCTACTACATATGGCTTGAACTCAGTCCGTTATATTGGTCCGAAACTCTGGAATTCCCTTCCGAAAAGGTTTAGAAATATAACGAATTTTAAGTCTTTTAAGAGATCCATTAGACAAGTCGACTTGGTGCAAATCTTATAATTTTCACGCTTATTTATTGAATTCAGTATTTATTTCGATACAAGATATATTTTATATTTATAATTATAACTGTAGTATATTCCATATTCAATTTTTAACTTTAATTTTATTGTGTTTTGTGGAATACCTGTAAATTAGCTGGCGTGCTTTAGCAGATACCGATCCCGTTGTCTGTAAAGGTTCGCCTTTATTGTAGCGAAGTGTATATTCACAATAAACTGTTATTGATTGTACCACTCACGTTTTATACCGACCATTTTCGCTTTTTGGTAGTTACCAGTGGACAAATTTTCCATAGCAAAATCGTTTCATTTATCACAAAAGCGATAAGGCGCACAGAAGTTGCTAAATTTCAAGGATTTTTCATGACCTACTAACGAAATCAAGTACTTTTCAAGGACTTAACCAAATCAAGGACTTTTCAAGACGTCCTTTAAAATTCAAGCCCTTTTCAAGATTGTACGAACCACGAAATTATTTTACTTTGATTGAGTTCGACTCTTCAACACAAGAGCGGGTCACTGAAACGAACGACGAAATCAACCTCGCAATAATCAAATAAAAAACGGATTGGTGCGGAATCGAACAATGATGTTAAAGTTTCAACGATTAACCTAAAATCTTATTCTTTATAATACTTCAGTGGAAACACAAGACATCGACTGATTACCCATGCACAAACGTCACCATATGACAATAGAGTTTAAATTCTCACTTTTCAAGGCTGCCTTTAAGCTTGGCTCTTCGGTCTTTCAATTTCTTCACCTCTTCTCTGTAGGTTCTCGTTATTTCCTTGTTAGGCTCCATGTACCTGTGTCAAGCACAACAAAAAATAAATTTAAGACTCAGTTAACCTAATCGCAAATACTCACAAAAACGCACCAATTTGAAGAATAAGAATAAGTACCACTCAGTAAAGACTAAGCGTGTTCCAAACCGCTAATAGCTTGAAACAAGCTGATAGAATGGTTCAAAAGGGTAACAAAACAATTCAAATTGCAAAAGGAATTAGTTGAACGACGCTATATCAAAGAAAGTGAATAAATCATCCCAGAATAACGCTACCTCTGTAAATTTACGTTTAGTTTGATTAAATTTAAACAAATCCCTACCGGTCCATGAAGATGACACGGTCGAAAAAAAATCTCTCGTGTATTTTTTCTGCTCTGCCTGTCGATTGATTAAATAGGAACCTGGAGAGCATGAACTTGAGTACAACAGGAAGGCGAGTGAACCAGTGCTGAAAGGAATGAAAAATCTTCAGGTTTAGCAAGCAACAGAATCCCATATCCAACAACACGACCCAGCTTAATGGTGGAATGTTGGTATAAAAGTAACTCAACGAAACCAGACTACGTTGCAAAACATCGTCGCCAAAATTCCCTTGTGTGCTCATTGATACCCCAGACGATTACATGTTCCCCTATCTGATTTTTAAACACGACGACGCCCTATGAAGAGAATGGCGCCTTGTACGGATACTCTGCATCGTTTGTCAATCAACCGCTTTGGCATACAGACCAATGGAAAACGTCTGTTGCAGTAAGACATATAAAGAAAGCTTCTGAACAATCCTCCTTTCACTAATCATTCTCCTTTTATTGGCATTTTTAGGGGTTTGCTGGTGGAGTGTTAGCGGTTTCCAAAAAAATGATTCAGTTTTGGGAGATTCTGATGACGGTGGCTGTTGCTGCTCCAAGGTGGAGAAAAGCCCTGTGAGCGTCCGGTATTTTTTTTTTTTTTTAACCACAGCAGCCATGATCTCATTTCAGGGCTTGTACTCAAACTGTCTTGATCGGAGTTTATCTCCATAAAACTAAGGCTTCTCAAATGAAAGCCAACCATTTCAAGACCACCTCACCTCCTGTCCAGACTTTTGTGATCCCTCAGGACCCACTGGTTCAATCTCTACTTGAGCCATGGCTCCTTCTAAGCTGTCATGAAGTTCACCATATCCTTGAACTTGCAGGGGAAACGCTCCAAATGTTTCTTTCTTGCTGAAGGTCTTACCTACAGTGATGGATGTGGAACAAATGAGAGGCGGAACTTCATGTATAAGATCCAGTTTACCTCTATAGTTAGTATTACTATAGTATTAAAAAAATCTTTGGAGAGAAATATAAGCGTGGAACAAAGAAAAAAAACTGAATCCCCATGAAGAGTCGAGCCCCGAACTTATCTTAGCATAACTCCTCGCGCGAGTTAATAGAACTAGTTTCCCACCCCTTCCCCAAAACAAAAAAGAAAAAATTGCCCGGCTGCATCGCTCCTTCCGAGTACACGCATTTTTTTCTATCGGCCACATCTATTGACTGGCGCAAGAGATTTCGCTGCGAGAGAAAGAATGCTGGTGGCAGACAGTTGCCTTTTAGTAAATGTCCCTCAAAAAGACCAACGTTTCGTTTTCGTCATCAAGTCGTTTTCGCCTAAGTGCAGAGAGTCTCGAGAAGAATGAGGGGTTTGAAAGTGTTACGAGTTAAAAACAATTCCTCAAACTCCATCTTACATTCTTTATTATATGACAAGCTAGACCTGAGATAAATGTTCCCCAGTGCGGCCCTCGCATGCGGTTAGTAAGAACTATTAGGCATAAGTCAATTGCACAACTCACCCTCGTAGACACCTTCAACATTAGACTCGCCGAAAAACAATTCGACCACAGGATTTAGGTCTTTACCGCTGCAAGAAAATTAATGGTGTTCTTTGAGTCAAAAGAGAATACGGTTAGGACTCTGCTGTTTTACAAACACTGATATTTTTACAGACACAGTGAAACAAACACATCATTAAACTTCCATTTAAACTAAAACACTTTGGGCTAGTCATCTAAAGAGAGTATAGCTGTTATCTTATAAATTATTTACAATTCAGATTTAGAGCAACCTCGGGTGCAAATTCTTTGAGGAGGCGCGCAGGAATGCCATCCGGCCTTGAGGCTTTGCAGGTACTAAGACCAAGTAGCTTACGGCATACAGCTGAAGTGGTAATAGTTGGTGGTTGGTCCAGCGATGGTAAGACGGCAGGAAGGGCGGCGGTATTGAGTGGTTGGATGTCAGATGTAAAAGATATGAAATAACTATTCAGACGAATGGCAAGGGTTTTACGCAAGATAATGTTGCCATGTTCGTCAGGATAGCTTAACTCGGAATCGGTAGAAGATTTGCCAGCAAGCTTGCTCACCAGGCTCCACCAGCTACCAGGGTCTGAGCTTTTGAGACTCATCACCTTGCGGGCGAAGAATTCCATCTTGCGCTTACAGATTGCCAGGAGTTGCCATCTATCTTTACACCCAGAATGATATGCACGCTGTCGCTCCAGGAATAATGATTTGATTTCGGCAGACATCCAGGGTTTGTCAGTCGGATGTATTTCGACACTCTTGGCCGGGAAGTAGACGTTGATTGCGTTACAGCGGTCATCCGAAAAAGACGATGTCAGACTATCCACCGGTAAGGAGTCAACTGCGCGCGTGTGTGCAAACCAGCTATGTGCACTAATCCATCTCCCAAAGGCGTTGACTGCCGACTCTGGAAAGCGACGCATTTTAACTACTTTTTTCTTAGCCATCAGTTTGCTGGAGACGTAGTTGGAATTGGGTACCCAGTAGACCGAACGGTGGTCAGAAGACCGTAAGTGCGCGCTTACAACAGGCTTGTTATAATAAGAAGATAAATTTGATATCACTAAGTCTAAAATATTATCACCCCTTGAAGGCTCGCGGACAAGCTGCTTTAGGGTGTGGTTTGCAAGAATGTTCATAACGTCCAGGGTGTTAAAATCAGCTAAAAGTACCACCCCGCAGTCTGGGTGGGTGGACTTAACAGAGTCAATACACTCGATGATATAACTAGCACGAGCCCGCTGTACGTCAGCGGCTGCTCCAGGGAAGTACATAGCACCAACGATAATGACAGAGAGTGGACGAGGCAGGCGCGAGGGACGAAGCCATAGCCACATGCACTAATGGTCTGGTGTCTAAGGTTAGACCTCCTTTTGAAGGGGATGCTGGATGAAACAAAAGTGCAGACGCCACCTCCACGAGTCGGACGGTGTCTCCCCTGTAGAACATAGCCCGGGATGGTAAGGACACTATCTTCAATCCTATCATTAAACCATGACGCGGTGATGACTGCAATAACCCTACGGGTAGATAGTAGCTGGGCAGTAAGCTCGCCAAACTTCTTTTCAAGAGAGCGTGCGTTGGCCAGGTAAAAACTGGGTGGGTCGTAACCTTTTCTCTTAACATGGTAAGAAAATGGAATAGACCTGAGGTGACATAGCGTAGACCGATCTTCCCCACGTCCAGATAAAAGAAGCACTAGATCTCGTTGCGCTATTGCGTGACAGGTGGGTAACAATGCTTTGTCTACTGTGTTGGGTCTCAGGGGAACAAAGAAATCGGTTGGGTTATTAGCAGAATAAGCCATGGGCGAAGGGTTGAGCCGACGAGGCGAACGACGCAGATATGGTTCAGTTACATGAACTTGAATCCTGGATGGAGTAACAGTATGATTAGTAGAACAACGAAGAATGCCTGCTTGTTGAATGTATGTTAATACCAGGTCGCCGATTGCATGGGAACTGTGTTGAGAGATATTGTTGAATGATAGAAGTTGACTTGCAGTGTACATTATTCGGGCAGGCATGGGCTGATCCGAGTTCACGTTGGTTCTAATACTGAGCCTTTCAGGGTTGTTAGGGCCAGGATGGGGATGAATATCGCCACAGAGTAAGATGGATTCGATATTTAGAGAATCTTCATTCTAACTCATTTTCATTTTGTCAAACATTTCATCTTAACGTTGACTGGTGTGAAGTATGTCAAGGAAACCCTACATTTACTTACACCGGACCACTCATGAGGAAATCTTAGGATACACCACGGTCTAAGTTATCCTTCGTTCAATTCACCAGCCCTCGTTGAGAAGTCGGAACGAAAGAGTTACTATAACTAGCTGGCACAATAAAGTTAGATTCAAGTCGATTACAACTGAATTACATCGCATCCTACCCAAAGCTTCCGGCCCAGAATGATATCCTGTTCAAGGCGCTTAATAGAAAAAGTATGCACCCTTTTTAGGACTAAAAACTTGGGAATCGATACCATCATTAGCGGCTCATACCAGTTTGCGCCAATTGACGAGGTGTCGTAAAAAAATGACGCTCACCATAATGGTAAGATCAACCCCCTGAGCATAAAGAAACCTTTGTTTCCTCCTTTGGCAAAAACCAGCGATATTCATGTTTCTTTTAAGAGTTAGGTGTCAGACCCTTCATTCATTACTCACTTCCTAACTGGAGTGCCGTCAGTACCGCTGTTGTGGCTAACTTTAAATGAGTCTTCCAGCCATTCAAGCAGCTTATGGGTGAACTCACTGACATCCTAAAAAATCAAGAAATGCACAAATTGGCCTCCATTTAAAGTGTATATGACACATTTTTTTAAAAGTATTTTCCTTTCTTGATTTATGTAATAAATGAAAAATGTTTCGATAATCAGAAAAAAAATAATTTGGATGATTTTTTGCGGCCGAAATACCGCCAATTTCCATGTAAAAGTGTCTCAGGAAACTGGGGACGATAATTGTGCTTGTCACGTCACAGTGTTTGATAACATTGCTGTCGCGCGCAGGCGCCTCCTAATTTCTCTTGCTCGGGGCTTCGAATGTGTGAGTGATGAACGCTAATTTTCGACCCGCACTGTTTAATTCGGTGATCTCTAGCGATTCGAACCCCATGCTTCGATGGTTTCCCTTCTCTTTTAGCCATATTGGTTTGTTTATCAAACACAGTGACGTCACAGACGTATATCATGTGACATTTTGGCCGCGCGATCTCCGGGACAATTTCAACATGAAAGTAGTGCGCATTTTGAACGAAGAAATGGGGTTTCAAAATATTCTCAAGATCTAAAAACTTTACAGTCGTTTTTCTATCATTATCAACGACCAGAATCAGCGAAAAAAAATTTGTGTCATATACACTTTAATGGTCCTGCAAGACGCGCGTTTCTCCACCCGCGGGAAGATTGAAACGAGCCAGGGAGAAGTTAACAAGGGGTCTGGCACTAATTAAGTATATGTGCACGATCCTTCGCAGTAAAGCACTATTTGAGCAATAGTGAAAATCAGACCTGAAAAAAATTTCAGGCCTGTACGGGGTTCGAACCACTGACCTCTGCGATACTAGTGCAGC